TGACGACGACGACGACGACGAAGACAGCGAAGAGGAGGCCGAGGCGGTGGACGGAGAAGAAGAAAAAGAGCAGGCCACGACCGGACACAACGCAGAGGACAAAGGAAAAGACAAAATGGATGAGGATCACGAGGGCGAAGAGGACCCGAGGCCGTCATCTTCGGGCGAAGAAGTGGTCATGACGGAGTTCATCCCGCGGCCACTCTTCGTGACGCGAACCCACCACGGCGTGCCAACAACCGCCTCTCTGCCATCTCTGGCCTGCGTGTCGCTGCGCATGGTGGACCGCGGCGTGCCGCACTACAACGCTCTCGTCTGCCTCCCCACCGAGCATGACCTCGCTCTCTACCAGGCTCGTTGTCTGCACCGCCGCGGTAGTCATCGCTTCGCGCGCAAGGCCACCGTCCGACCGGCGCGACAGGAACCTGGCGACCCTGACGACGAGGAAGAGGCGCTTGACAACGACGACGAGAAGGGTCCTCTGGCTTCGCTCCACCAACATGTACGCAAGCATTCACTTCGCATTTCCTCCTCCTCCTCCTTCTTTGCTGCAAAGTTGTCCTTGGCGCCAGTCTGACGGTCGGGTCGTGTGGTGCACGTGTTGTGTCTCAACTCAACAGGGCGAGAGGGAGGTGATTGGCTTCGTAACGGCGGGCGACTACTCCTACATTCGCGGCAGCGGTTCGGCGTTGGGTTTTTGCGCGTCGGCTGCGCTCTCCGCCCACTGGCCGCCAGTGTTGCTGGTGCGCAACACCTCGTCGCCCTTCTACTTCCCGGCCACGTACTCTCTCTTGTCTTCCACCTCCACCTCCTCCTAGGGGAGGCGCACCCGCCCAGTACTGCGCGACAAATCTGTCCCTCCGCGCTCATTTCCAACAGACAACATTGTAGGGAAGAACAGAATTATTTGACAGCGTGCACAATCGTTTTTGGCCGAGGACAGACGGCCGTTGGATCGCCAGGCCACCAGCAGTTTACCGTTACTTGGTTCCACGCCATAAGGCGTTGCACGAGATCGAACCCACCCCCACATCACCAATTGCGTTGCGGTCTCTCCTAACAACGAACTCCGGAGAACCAATAGGCCCTGAGTGAAATTTTATCAGGCACGTGTTGTAGCGTGTTGGTTGCGGCAATAGGATGATCGTGCTTTCGCTGGACTCGCCGCGAGGCACCCGTGCCGCCAGCGCAGCTGAACCCGGCGGCCAAATCGGGCGCGAGGGCACAGTGCTACACCCCATCAGTTCGTTCTTTCTCCCTTCGACGCACTCCCGGCCACACCGCAAGCGCAATGCTACCCCTCCGGTCTTCATACGGACTGGCGATTGTCCTCTTCCTCTGCGTATGCCTGGCTCAAGGTACGGCAGGTACACGCTTCAAGAAAGCTCTTCTTCAACTCTCTTTACCGCCCTCTCGGGCCTCACTCCCTACCCCCTCCTTTCACTTTCTCCTCTGCTGCTTGGCAGGCTCGGGCATGATTGTGCTCCAGGGCGCTGGGAGCGGCAACTCCGGGGCCATCGTTAATATATGGGCACAGGGCTACCGCTTCATCCGTGACGACGTGCGGTACGTACCGGGGGGCTAGCAATGGTTAGACCCCTCTTCGCGGCCCGGCTCAAGAAACTCATCCCTTCATGCCGCCGTCCCTTCCTCCAGAGTGAGGTACAGCGAAGCCGGCGTGGTGGACTCTACGACGCAATACAGCGAGGGCCTGTTGGTGCGTCTCTCCCTTGCCGGCTCGAGAACCGCGCGCGGCAGCAATTAAAATATTTGTTGGCTGCAGTTTTCTTTTGTCGGCGCCCAAACCAACGGTCGCCGTTGCAAGAAAAGACTAATCAGGTCGACCTGGTGGGCCCCAATCTACAGGACTATCTGGTAACGGACAGAGGCATCACGCGCAATTTGACCACCGACTACAGCAACCTGATCCAGTTCCCGCTGGCTGGTCAAGCCATGGCCATCGGCTACAACCTGCCGGAGCTCAACGCCACCACCGACGGGGGCACGTTGGTACCTCTACCCCTCCCGGCCTCATAACAGCGAGATTGTTGTTGCGGCTACAACAACATGACGCTATTTTTTCATTCGTCCAATGTTGTTGGCTAACTCCGTAATTGGCTGCTCCATTTTCGCCGCACACCCTCACCCGCCGCCGGCGCCAGGTGCTGAACACGACCGTGCTTGCCGACATCTGGGGCGGAGACATCACGACGTGGAACCACACGGCGATCAAGGAGCTCAACCCCGGCATTGCCGACAAGCTGCCGTCGGCCACCATCTTCCTGGGCTATCACGAGAACGCCAACGTGCTCTCGTTCACAGAGGTCTTCAAGGCCGCCCTCGAGAGCTTCAGCCCGGCGTTCAAAGCCAAGTTCGCCGCCGCCAATCGCACCTTTGACAATTTGCCTCCGAAGCTCAGCGGCCATGCCGAGCGAGCCGGCGGCTCCGGAGTGCGTATCGGATGGTTGCAGGTGCGTCCCTCCCCCCCCGGATTTAGATCGATGCACCGTGAAGGGCATGCGCTAACGGACACACAGAACAAACCGTACGCGTTGACGTGGTTCAACTACATCGAGGTTGCCAACGTGTCCGTGACGCTGGCACGAATGATCAACCGAGCCGGAGATCTGGTGGAGCCCACGGTGGCGTCCATCCAATCGGCGATGACTGACTTTCAGTCGGACTACGACGCGGGCCGTTTCACCGTGGACATCTTTAACGGCGGCGGAGGGCGCTCCTGGCCCATGTCCTATCTGACCTTCTTCGCCCTGGAGAAGAATGCGAGCCTCGGCGACTGTACCGACGTGCAGGAGATTCTTAACTTCGTGGCTTGGATTCACACGAACAAGGAGTACGTACTCCCCATCCACACTGCCGGCACTTGGGTGGCGCTTGTTCTTGGCCAAGCTACGCAATGAAATCCATGGCTGACCTCTTCTGGACTCCACCACCACCACAACAGAGCGTCGGCAGTGGCCGAAGAAGCGCTCGTGGCGCCGCTGGACATCAGCTTGCGCAAGAAGCTCATCTCGGTCCTCCACGACTCGCTGTGCAACGGGCAGGAGTCGTTCACGCGATCGATTCTGGTGGGCACGGGCGCGCAGATCGGTCTGATGGACACCTGGGCGGCCTACTGGTCCTTCGGCTCGGCAACAGCCAGCTACTACCCATTCACCTCGTCGACGGCCAGGGAGCAGATGGCCGCCCAAAACGTCGACTTTGGCATGCTGAACGAGGGACTGAACGACGGGCAGGACCTCAGCAAACGGCTCGATGCCGACATCGCCCTCATGCCCTTTGCTGCTCAGCCGATCGTACCCGGTACGCTGCGCTGACCAGTCGCACACAACAGCTCATGGTCACTCTATGCCGG